CACCAAGCTAATCGCTGCGACGTTAATTGGCCGTTAATGCGATTAAAAGGGTTTCGAAACGAAAGGTAATGCTGCGAATTGTCTTGCCATTTTGTCGCTGCGCGCGATTCGGCAACAGATATGTATATATGTATATATATATATTCGTATTTACATATGTGTTCATATGTTTATAAATTTGCTTCTTATTAGTTGTTTTATTATTATTATTATTATTATTGTAGGTGTTTATTCTTTCTTCGAATCGAGGAACTCTTTCGCGTGATAATTGTATATAAGAAGTTTGCGAAGTTTACTTGTTCTCAGTTGTATTAAGTTTGATCTTTGATGAAGGTATTGCGAAGAGAAGAGAAGAATAATGAGAATAAGGAGAGGGAAGTGATTAAAGAAAGAATATTTGATGGAATTAAATGTATATGCACGAATGGCAAGGAAAAATGTTGATCGATTTTTACGAAATTTATAATATAATATTGTCATAAAAATATTTGTGGTATTTATTTCCTTTTTTTTTATTTATTATTATTATTCGTGTTAAAGGGTGAAGATTAATATAACTTAAAATAGGGGATGTTACAGTCATATTTTATCGAATATCCCAAAAATTATTTATACTAAAGTTATAAATAATTTTTTCTTTATTCTTTTCTGCAGAAAGAATTAATTTTTGGTATATTATTGTACAAAAAAAATTCTATTTCATTCATTTCTATTGGATAAATATAATTTCAATTTCAATGTTTCAATATTTATTTTGTAAAAATCATATATTGAGTTGAATAATGTCGTTAAAAATTTTTAAACCAGCTTTTCGAGATTTTGCACGCGTTTTAACGAGGAGTTTATTCGTTACAACAATTCATCAGACTGTGGATCGAGCACGCGGATGGCGGAAATATTGCGAAAACTCGAACGAGAGACAGAATTTTTGGTATCGAAAAACGCGTGATTGAAAACGAAATTACATTGTCAAGCATTTATAATTCCGCATGTATATTCACACGCGGCTACTTGTTTTATAGTTTTCATCCTCGCTTACCATTTTACATCTATTTCTTTTTTAATCGATTTAGCTTAAAATATTCGTGATAAAATATACTAACAACGTAACATGATAAAATGACGCGTATTTATATTTACATTTTAAAATTTAAAATGATTCGATCGAATTTCCAGAATATATTTTTCCAAGATTATATTTTAAGTGAAATAGGAAATTTAAATAAATATGAACAGAAATAAAATTTAATGCGTTTATTATGTAATATATTGAGTATCGAGATACTTTAAAGAGGTTTTAAAATTTATTAAAAAAAAAATTGAACATTTTCGTTAAGCAAGTATTATTATGATAAGTAGATTTTTCTTGAATTTTGCTCCTTTTATAAATCCTTCCTCCCTTTATAAAGTAAAGGATTTTTAAAAAGTTTATAATTTATCGTCTAAAGTATACTATTCTCCAGATTAAAAATTAAATGATTTATTGATTGTTAAAAAATAGTCATAAAGAGATAAGTATTATTATTCGTTATTTGTTTTCACCTTCTTATTTCTATTGAATATTCTATACATTTCTTTTCTTTGTTTTCATTATTTCGAATTCGGAAGCATATTTTATTGTATACCTGTATTTAAAATAATTATACCTAGTATATATACAATCCATTATACAGGAAAGAGACCGATACTACAATGTCAACCGAAAATTTTACACTCTGTCCAATCATAAAAATTAATAATCATTTTAATAGATACTTTAAAAGTCAAATAAACAATTTTTCTATAATGCAATGCCGAAAACATAATAAACTCTACTATAAATTATTATTATGTAATAAATAAATTTTAATAAATTTTCTTAATAAACCAAGTATTTTAATACGATACTAACAGAATTTAAAATGAAAAATAACGAAAATAAAAAAGGAAGGAAATTATCAGAATAATTAAAAAATAATAACAATATTATATATCTTAAAGAAAAAAATAGAATTTTTTCAAAAAATATTCCTCCAATAATTAACCAGCAATATAATAAATTTATTATATTTCTTATCATATTAATCTTCGAAGTGATAATAATAAAATAATATAATTAGCGATCCATTTTTTTTTAAAAATCGAAGAACTGTAAAAATAAAAAATAGACTTGCACATACATTTTTTTGCAATAGTTTTGACCAACGTGTTTGCACGAGGATCGCCGCGAAAACGTATTCTTGCGAATTTTCACCGATCCGCAAATTTGCCGATATAATATTAGCCGAAGAAGAAACGAAAGCCGACATTCGGCTATCGTAGGCACTGCGTTGTTATCGATAAGAATACCTGGTAAAACGGTGTTATCGATTTATGACAGTGCAGACAGCGTGACACCGACGTACAAATACGTCGTATTCGCGAGATTAGAACGAATCTTTTGATACTCGACACGGTGCTTGCACATCCAACAATCCTTTTAGATCCGTCCCCTTTGTACTCACCGATTAATCGATCGTACAACAGAGCTCTCGATATGAGTCTGCGAATTTTTTCAACTTGCTTTATCGATCAAACTTTTAATTTCTGATACAAGTCGAAAAAATTTTCGTTATCGAAATTCTTGTAAAAATTCTATTACAAATGTTTTAAAAATGTTACTTTCTTTTCTACATTCTGTATTTCGATTTTCCAATTCCATCGAATTTCGATAACGAAAATTTAATAAACATCAATTTAAATGGAATAATTTTAAAGAGGAAAAAAAATAGACAAATAGTTGAGTAGATTAGTGGTTAATATTCGCGTGGCGCTAGTATCGCGTCGCCATCTTGTTAATTACGTCGCCATATTGTACAGGAAAGCGAGGATAATTTTCTCTCGGTGTTTAACTCAAAAATCAACGTTTTATTTTTACTAAAATGCTAAATTTTGTCTGGAATACAAAGGAAGAAGAGGAAGAAGAAGAAATTTCGCTTTGGGAGTCGAATATTCGGTTGTTCGAATATTCGCAAAAAAAAAAGGGGGTCGTAGCACGAAAAAGATTGGAAAACACTGATGATAGCGCGTCAAAGGGAGAGAAAGATGGACAAAGAACACTTGGAAACTTACCTCTCCGTATAATTCTGCAAAATGTTTAGCATACAAAGACAAATATAATGGGACCCCGAGATGAGGTTGCGACGAGATCACGGCCCTCGGGCGGGGATGGTTAATTCAGTTTCAAGCTCCATCAGCCAGACACATCCCCTTGCCTTTCTCCCCACCCCCTTCCTCCCGTCATCCCCTGAACGTCTTTGTACGCCGCAGTCGTCACTCTTTCTCCCTTGCTCCGATGCACACCTCCTCTTTCCTCCGTTGTTAAGTCTACTGGTAAATATAAACGTTGGAATTGACGTACGGTCGCGTATGTTTAATAATTTGCGACAGACATTCGTAGATTACGATGGATCGGGTATTACATTACTCTGGCCTTTGATAAATCTTAAATTGTAATTGTGCGAGATAATTTCATATATAATTATAAATGTTTAAATATAATTGTAAATAATGTAACTTTTAAATTAAAATATTATTATATATTTATCAATTTATGGAATAATAACAAGGATAATAATTAAATTTAATTTCATCTTGTGCTCGTAAAAATTTTAATTTGCATAAATATCTCGGGATGATTACGTTTCAAAGGTAATAAAATAAATTATAGTTTTACGTGAAATAACGTGAAAATATGAGAAATAAAAAAACCTCGTTGTATTAAGTGTATAACGTTTGTAACAAATTATTATTTTTGACATAATTACGTTAATTAGTAATCGAGCTATACGTTTATAAGAATGAAACAGACTGCGTGACTCCAATGACACATCCCTCCTTCTTTATCTTCTTTTTCTTCGCAGCTTCTTTCAGAGGTTGAGGAACACTCGAGCCACTCGAATATCAACGCCAAGGGATGACAGACTGTTTGTAATATAACTTTCGAAGCTAATCACCGTCCTGGCAGTAGACGAGAAAGTTTATCTTCAACGATGTAAACGGCTGAACAGCCTCTTGTCATTCTTCGTTTTGGAGCACGAAGATGAAATTGATTCTGACTCATTTTCTTTTCAAATAATTTTCTTTTCAAATAATTCCTTTTCTTTCACTTTTCTTTATTTTACACTCATCTGAATATCTCATTCACAGGCTGATGATTAATAATAACTTTGTGCAAAAATTCAAAAAAAAAAAGAATCATTTAATATATGGTACGAATAAAGAAAATTAATATTTGAAAAATTTATAAATCGATAAATAATAA